TTAGGCTACCTTCCACTAACTCTCTTGCTTCCTTCAAGGCCCTAAATATTTTAGAGTCATCAAAATGTAAACCAATTTCCCTTTTTAAGAAATCATAAGTCTTAACATATTTAATATCAAGTTGTAACTTCATATTTTCTATAAATTTTTAACCACCCATTTCCATGAAGCTTGCTTGTTTTTGAAAATCCGACTGCAAATGTGATTATTTACAAATGTTTTAATTTGAAAGCTTTCTTGAACATCACTCTAGCTGCATAACATCTCCCATGCATATTCTGTATGTTTACACCTTACCCTTGTCCTAATTTTGTCATTTTTTTATCCATTTAATCTCCTTTATAAGGTAAATACTATCATCCCTTACAATAGTTTTAAAGCTTTTCAAAGTTGATGACTCCATTCCAATCTCTAAATGCACACATCCAAACTCTACAACTTCATTAAACTTAGGATAAATAACTTTTTGGTCACCTACAAAAACCTCATCATCACTACTAATTAAAGATCTCAACACTTCAGGCTCATAACTTTGATTAGTGTTTTCAATTGAGTCATCGTCAAACATTACAATTGGCTCATATGGGTGGTCATCAACAACCTTAGTAACAAGTTCATCACATTATCTTGTGCATCTTCATTTAAAATTAAAACCAATAAATCAACATGAAAACCAATATGAAAAACCATTTACCAAAGAAAAAAAAATGCACAATGAAGAAACATTGATGGTTTATAAGAGTACAATGATAAACAACAATGACAAAAAGCCTAGAACCATAAACGTAGCCAAAACCGCAACAATAACCTAAACCCAAAATTATAAACCAACATAAAGAAAAATAAAAGACAAAAGCAATGAACAACATGATGAAGAACGATAACAAGGACAAAGACAAAAAATAATGACGAATAGGAACAACTATAAATATAAAAAAGAAAAGCCAACAATAATGGATACCTAACATCATTTTCATCCTCCATGCAAACCTCTTGTCTTCCTCTCTTCACTAGGTGGGAAAGAAAAAATGGGAACAAGAGAGACACTAACACGCTTTTTAACCTAAATATTTACTTTTATAAAAAGAATTTTCTACACATTCAAAAATGTCCCTCCTATGATAGGGCATAAAAAATATTAAAATTACCACATCATCAAATAATTGATCATATATACAACTCTAGTATATTTAACGAAGTATATATGATGGAGAGATGGGCATGAGTGATGATTGTCAGTTTCAAGGAGGACTTTTTAAAATAAAATGAGAGATTAAATTGAGAAAAAAATGACAATTTTAGAGACTAATCTAACTATTTACTCAATAAAAATATTTTATATATGTATTTTCTTTTCGCTAGGTAACAAACAAAAGATGCATTTATCATTATTTATTTATTAGTGTAATCTATACACTTAATGTATTTATATTTTATTTAATTTTTTTAAATAAAATAAAAAATCAAATCAAATAATAAAATAGGTGATTAAAATTGAAGATTATAATTGTTACAAATTATTAACTTATTTAAGTGATAAAAAAAAATTTAATATTATTTAAAAATTTAAGAATTTAAAAAAATGTAGAAATGAAAAATGATTACAAATTGATGTCCTTTTTAAGTGTTATTTTCATTTATTAAATAATTTAATCATCTAAGTTAAATATAAGTATGTTCTTAGAACATCCATGTATCTTTCTTTCTCTCTGTTCATCAGTCAGCTTAATATTTTGTTTTTTATTTCACCGCCTTTTTTTTGGCCTGGGATATGCCACCAGGGTTTTAAAATATTTATGAAAAAATTGTCTTTATTTTTATTTGTGTATGTAGATTGTAGCCACAAATTCAGTTGATTAAGGCTTATCTGAAAAGAAAAAAGAATTTATATATATATATATATATATATATATATTCGGATTTTATTTAATTTAAAATATATAGTATTTTAAACATATTATAGTTCGTGGAATCGTGGTACATTTATAATAATTTGCTCATTTTATAAACAGCGCACTTTAAATATTTGTTTTGATTTATTAATTTAATAAAATTATAACAATACATAATTAAATATGAGCACGCTTTTAGGACATCCACATATCATACTTTCTATCTGATTCACGAGATAACCAGAAAATCAGTCACCTTAGGATTTTGTTTTTGTTTTTCACCTCTTGTTTGATGGCCTTCAGTATGCCACCAGGGTTTTTAAATAATTAAGGAAAATCTGTCTATTATTCTCTTTTATGTACTTTGTAGCCACAAATTCATTTAAAGAGTTTCCTCTCAACAGAAAAAGAAAATTATTATACACGAACATTTTAGCATGCATAATGAAAGGAATAAATATTTATTTTATATAATTATAATCAATATTTTTTAATATATAAAATATATTATAACTAAAATTTATAAAAAATAAATATTTTTAAACATATAATTATATCGTAAATCAAGTGTATTTTTAATTATTGATACTTTTTAAAATATTAAAATTTAATATAAAAGTAATAAAATAAATAAATTAAAAAGAAAAAGAGATAAAAAAAATCTTTAAAATCACTTTCAATAAAAATTCACTTATTATATATATTTCTCAAAAAAAATAAAATCTTTCCTTCTTTCTTATTTCTATCCTAGTTATTTAACATATCAACCTTGTCAAACATAATTGATAATGAGTTGTACATTTTAATCAAATTATTTAAAATTTGAATATTGATTTTAAGTATGAAAAAATTGTATTAAAATAAAAGTATTCATCTTATATGATTAGAGTTTCTAATAAAAATTAATTATTACTTATTATAATAATAATGAATATTTCATATCAATATTATAGTTATTTAACAAAAATTCATTTAATATAATGTGAATAAATATTAATATTTTTTAAAGAAAGATTCTCTCATAATACCATTTTTATTTAAAAGGTACATAAACACCTGCTTATAATTAAAAAAATCATTAGAAAATAAATAATTATTTATAATTTATTAAGAACATTAAATTTCTCTAAAAAAAAAGTACATTAAATTAATGCAAAATATAGTGAATATTTTTACTATAAATAAAAATAATCGAAAAGACAATAACTTGTAGTTGATAAATTAATATGTTATTTATGAAAAAGTTCCTTTTCCTAGAAGAAAAAAACTCTCCTTGTGAAAACAATCATAGTGCACAATATTAACGGCCAGAAACATAATGAAACGTCACAATTCTAACATAATAATGGTTGATGGGTGACAATTGCTAAACCAAACATATTATATAAACCCCATCTGTTTGATAAAATATGGAAAGAAATCTCACGCACGCAAGCAAGACGCCGCTGTATTAAGTGCTAACTTTACAGGATATGTATGATAAGACGGCTTTGTTTTTGCACATTTTTCTTAATTAAAACAAAAACTTAAATATATACTACTAATGTAGGGGAAAAAAATTATAGGGGAAGATGTTTTTAAAAGTTAAATATTTTATTGTGAGGATATTAATGTGATGTTCTATGAATCTAATTTATTAAAATCTTTCTTGAGTAATTGACTATTAAAGTAGATAGTTAAATATTTGTTTAAGATCTTAGTTGGTACAGTATTTGAGTTAGATCAAGATATATCCACTATAAGTGACCAATAATAATTTTTAGGTGAACAAGGTTGAGACATACATATATAAAGTAATAAGTCAAGTAAGGTCTAAGGTTAGAGAATTAGTGCCTAACTGAGTATTGTAAGTTAATGTCGTGATAGATTCATCTAAGATATTCTACCTTGACAGGAATATTAGACTTCCCATTTTAAGTGATAACATATGATAAATCATGTTATTAGGAATGAGTATCCCAATTGTAAAAAGATCACCTTGGTGTAGTAGGGTTAAGTCACTTAAATTGTTCACTTTTGTTATAAGATATTTTTGTAAGTGAAAGCGTGACAACACATGTAGTTGAGATATTGTGCACATGATGTGGTGAATTTGATGCAGTTCATATGGTGTATAATTTTGGTTGCTAAATGACATTGTTGTTAATGTATGTTGAAACTATTGTTTGCCTTTTTAAGATTGTTGAATGCCATGTAGTTTTGTTTTTTCTTCCTATGTTGTGAGTCCCGGTGTGTGTATGATTTACATGTTGGTGATTGATATTATAATTGTATTTACTTTTATACTTGTTGTGTGGTTATTCTTTTGAACTGATTTACCCTTATATTTTTTTTGGTGATTAAATTACGATGATCATGTTTATATAAGAGCATAACAACATCAGGCTAAAGGCTTTTGAAGTGCTGAAAGTCAGTTGTTGGCAATGTAGCTTAATGCTACTTAGGATGGTATTTTTGTAGTGTTATTTGACTAATAACCTAAATTCATACACTTTAGTTTTTTGATTATTGCATGTACATATTTACTTGTATAATATTTTTAGTTGTTGCCAAAAATGATTGCACGTGGATGTATATATATTATTACTTATATATCTAAAAACTTTGTATATGTTAATTTTAGGTAGTAACGTGCATGTTTTTTATTACTTGTTGAAAAATAACATCTAAAATCATTTTTGTTTAAGATAACTATTTTAATTTATTACATGGATTATTTTTTTAAAATTAGGAAAATTTAATTTATCCTTAATTAATATAATAAATATTAATTATTATTAATAAAAAAAATAATATTTTTAACTTATATTTATTAATACATTATTTAACTTAAAAAATAAACATGTAATGTAAAAAAAGATTATTAAATAATAATTATTAAAATTATTATCATTATTAAATGAGAATCATTTTTATTTTAAATTCATTGAGAATAATGAACGAAATATATTTAATATTTTTTAATCAATGAGAATTAAAATAATGATAACAACACTAAAAAAATAAATAAAAAGAAGTGAAAAAGAGAAGAAAAGGAAGATAATAATGAGTAGAGAAACGCGTGGGTGGATTTGATTGGAAGGGTTGAAGGCAGGCCCCAAGGGGAGCGCTACTTAACCCTCACATTGCCCATTTCCACCGCACAACAGCAATCCTTCTTCTCTTGCCTCATCTCATTAAACAATATTCTTATCCCCATGGAAGGATCGGGTGTGGTAACGGTCTACGGCAACGGAGCAATAACGGAGACAAAGAAGTCCCCGTTCTCGGTCAAAGTGGGCCTGGCCCAGATGCTGCGGGGAGGGGTGATAATGGACGTGGTGAACGCGGAGCAGGCCCGCATCGCGGAGGAGGCAGGGGCGTGCGCGGTCATGGCGCTGGAGCGTGTGCCAGCGGACATCAGGGCCCAGGGCGGGGTGGCCCGAATGAGCGACCCGCAGCTCATTAAGGAGATAAAGCAGGCGGTGACCATCCCGGTGATGGCGAAGGCCCGCATCGGGCACTTCGTGGAGGCCCAGATCCTGGAGGCCATCGGAATCGACTACGTGGACGAGAGCGAGGTTCTGACCCCAGCGGACGACGCCAACCACATCAACAAGCACAACTTCCGGATCCCCTTCGTCTGCGGCTGCCACAACCTCAACGAAGCCCTCTGCCGCATCTGTGAGGGCACCGCCATGATCCGCACCAAGGGCGAGGCCGACACTGGGATCATCATCGAGGCCCTCCGCCACATCCACTCCGTCATGGCCGACATCCGCCTCCTCCGCAACATGGATGACGACAAGGTCTTCACCTTCGCCAAGAACTTCGCCGCCCCCTACAACGTTGTCATGCAGACAAAGCATCTCGACCTCCTCGTCGTCCTGTTCACCACTATCAGCGTCGCCACCCTGTCGACGCCACCCTCATGATGTAGCTTAGCGTTTGCGTCAGCTCTAGCTTCTTCAAGAGCAGCGACCCTGCCAAGTGTGCCAGGGCCATCGTCCAGGCCGTCACTCATTACAGCGACCTTGAGGTCTTGGCTAAGGTTAGTTGCGACTTGGGCGACACCATGGTTGGGATCAATTTGAACGATTCCAAGGTCAAGAGCTTTGCCCATCACTCTGAATGAGTATGCGAAACAATTTTTTTTTTAAAATTTAAAAAATGACGAGGAAACGGCGAGGCCCTCCGCCGCATCCGCGAGGGCGCCGCCATGATCCGCACCAAGGGCGAGGCCGGCACCGGCAACATCATCGAGGCCGTCCGCCACGTCCGCTCCGTCATGGCCGACATCCGCCTCCTCCGCAACATGGACGACGACGAGGTCTTCACCTTCGCCAAGAACCTCGCCGCCCCCTACGACCTCGTCATGCAGACCAAGCAGCTCGGCCGCCTCCCCGTCGTCCAGTTCGCCGCCGGCGGCGTCGCCACCCCCGCCGACGCCGCCCTCATGATGCAGCTCGGCTGCGACGGCGTCTTCGTCGGCTCCGGCGTCTTCAAGAGCGGCGACCCCGCCAAGCGCGCTAGGGCCATCGTCCAGGCCGTCACTCATTACAGCGACCCTGAGGTCTTGGCTGAGGTCAGTTGCGGCTTGGGCGACGCCATGGTTGGGATCAATTTGAACGATTCCAAGGTCGAGAGGTTCGCCCATCGCTCTGAATGAGTATGCTCTTGCTACTGCTTTTACTTCTTTCTTGTTTCCTTAATAAGCTTATGCTTTTCCTTTTTCGTCTTTTTATTTTATTTTATTCTCAACTGCGTTAGTTCGATTTAGATAAACCAACCAAAAAATATGGAGATAGTTATGTTGGACTTGTAATATGTTGTTTTATTTCATACATATTTAGCGCTGTGCTATTGTGTTAGTGCGTTAATGTTCTTCAACCATTCTTCTTTGGATATTGGATCCTATTTTTTATTTTTATATTTTATTGGAATCAAACCCTTTCCCTTCTACTTTGTAATAGTTGAACCACTGTCATTCCAAATTCACAATTTTTATGACTGCTGAAGCGAAAATTGGACGCTGAAAAGGGTATGTTAAGTGTTATTCTGGGTCTTTCACTTGTAACTCATGCTTATCCATCGGGTTATCTCTAATATCCATTCAGTAGCGTTTCTTTCTTTCTTTCTTGGATTCTTAATTCTGTTGTGTTCAAAGTACATGATTCTTGCGTATTCATTTTGATGTTTCCTCCTGCTGGATACCTTTCCCTGTAATTCTTTGCTTCCGGTTTGGATTGTATTATTCTTTCAACCTTGTCTATGATGCCATTATTACAAGCAGTTTGTTATTTTCAGTTTTAATGTATAGGTCCAAGATAGAGTGATAGATATATGTTGTATGGAAAACTTTTTCTCAACAGGGCTTGAGGACAAATCTAGTGAAGGGAACTCGGAAACTGCTTGGGCTTTTCCAATTTAGTTTTAAACGTAGTAGGTAGTAGTTTAATGTGATATCAGGCTTGGGTAACCCAAAATCTTCTGTTGAAACTTCACACCTTAGTGTCATCTGCCTTCCGGGGCTCAAGAGGAGAATAATGCATACTAGGGGGTTTACATGCAAAAAAAATAAATTATGTATGCTTAACCAATTTTATGAGACAAAAATGCATCAGACAGTGTGATACACTGCTGATTTTGCCCCTTTTGTCCAATATGGCTTTTCCAAGATGGTGAAAGTAGGGTGCTTAAGTGCTTAACATCATAACAAGGGAGAATAACATCGTAACAAGTAAGGGAGAATAAAACCAATTTACATAAAAATGCATCAAGCACTAGGAGACACTTCTGACTTTGTCCCTTTTGTCTAACATTGCCTGCTCGACTTTTCGAGGGTAATCAAATCCAGGCAAAATCCGAACCGTATCTCCTTTAATAAGTTACTTTGTAATCTTTCCTTAACTTGGCATCTCATGTGTATCTTGTCTTTTAAGGACTTTACTTCGCGTGCTGATTCTGCGATTTTCTTTTTTGAAATGACCAATGTATTAAACTAGTCTCTGTAAGTGTCTTGCCATCTAGTAACTTTAAAAAAAGGGTCAAAGAATTCAATTATCGTTTTACTGCAAATTAAGGAAATTGTAATTATCATACTACAAAGGAGATAGGAGAAAGAATAAGGATGTCTAATTGAAAGAGCAGGAAGAATAAGAATTTTGCAGTGCATCTTCTCATATATATTTTCTCATTTTTAATACAGGATTAGGTTTTTTCCTCTCATTTTTGAATGAGTATCAACTTCTCAGCTGAGAAGTGAGAAATTAATTGCTTGTGCATGGTCAGAGTCAACATGAGGCTACTTTAAATAATGTTTTTTCATACGCATAATTTTAAGAATTTAAAAACCCTAATTGCTCACTCAAGTAGTCAGACAGACCAGCACAGTTTGGCTAAAAGATAATTTAAATAACCGCAATTATAAATTATTATTTATGTAATGTTGGATATGCACCAGTTTGCGAAGGAAGAAAAGTAGAGAAGAGAAACCATACAGTCTCAGGATTTTTCTCTACATTCGCAATGGGGTTGAGTGGGAAGAGACACTAAAAAAAAAAAAAAAAAGGTCTCAAGAGAGAGTGAAATGTTACTATAACTTTATATATGATTAAATTGTAAAAGAGTGGAAAGAAAAGGTTGAAACAAGTGACATGTCTTCTAATGGTATCATGCAAGAGTTATTGAAAGAAAAACTTTTCCAAAAAATGTTTTTTATGTGGTGATGATTTTTTTTTTCAGTATCACATGTTTTGCTTATATATCAAACTTTATAATTCACGAAGGTTTGGAAGTTATTAGTCATATATTACATGAAATTAGGGAAAATATTAAGTGTGTTAAGGGGTTAGAAAAAAGGATGAATATTTTTAAAGTATATGTCAATGTAGTTAATGGCATTGATACTCGGTCGGTTTGTACCTGGATATCGTTACTAGTTGAAGCTCTACTTTTATGATGCTTGAAAAAAGTCCACTTGCATGACAACATTTTTTAGTAGGCCTGCACTTGATGATATGAACTATAAGTTTTGTCTAATTAACAAAAAAATGAGCAAGAGGAAAAAGAGAGGGAATTATTGCATCTATTTTATTTGATCACAAATTTGATGTTTTGTTTATCTTATTCAACATTTATTTCAAATTTCATGCAAATCTGGAAAATCGAATGGTTTTTGATAAAAATATGCATAAAGAAGATAAGATACTTAAGATATGACATCTAAGATGAAAATGAATTTCAACAAATATTGGAATGAATATATTATATTTGAACTTGGGACTATCTTAAATCTTGCTTTAAGTTTTCATTTTTGCGTTTTGTTATTTAAATTTGTTTTTTATTTTGATAAATTTCCAAACAAAGTTGAAAGTTGTGAAACACAACTTGGAATTATATGTTAAAATGTCTTTTAAAAAGACAACTAATGGTACTGTGCAAACTCAAAATTCATAAAACTTTTAACATATTAGTGAAATTGTTAGTGAAGACCTAACAAGAAAATGGGTTATTGGGGATGTATAAATTTTTTAAACACTCATGAATTCTTGAATTTCTTTCTTACACTTCTCTAATGTAATTTGTAAATAATGTAAGAGTATATCCAATATGATTACTAAAATAAATCACAAGTAGGTAAATACCGATTTGACATTTTATTTTGATGAACAAAAATTTCTCACAAAATATCAATTATTTCCTAATCTTTTGCAATTTTGAAAAAAATAAACATGTTTTTTTTTCATTAATATATTGTGTTATTTAAAGCATTCAAGTAACAACTTTTTCATTCAAACTTGTGTTTAGTATTGTTTTTTGTGTTCTCAATAAATATTAAAGTTCTCTTCTTAAAAAGTGTAAGTCTTGATATGCAGTAAAAAATTGATAATCATGATTAAAAATAAATATAAATATTACAAAGTTAAAATTTGTGAAACACAATAGTAATTATATTTCAAAATGTTTTCTAACAAGACAACTAAAGATATTGTGCAAACTCAACTCACAAAACTTTTAACATATTAGTGAAATTTCTTGTGAAGACCTAACAAGAAAATGGGTTGTTATGGATGTATGAATTTTCAAAACACTCTTGATTTCTTGATTTTTTTTCCTTACTCTTCTCTAATGTAACTTGTAAATAATGTAAAAGTATATCCAATATGATTAGCAAAATAAATCACAAGTAGGTAAATAACGATTTGATATTTTATTTTGATAAACAAAATTTTTCTCACATAATATCAATTATTTCTTAATCTTTTGTAATTTTGAAAAAATTACAAATGTTTTTTATTTTTATTTTTTATTTTGCATTCATGTCTTGCGTTATTCTAAGCTTTCAAGTGACAACTTTTTATTCAAATTCATAATATTGAACTTTCTTTACCATGAAGAATTTAAAATTCACTCAATTGTTCGGAATGAGTTGAATAGGTTGCTCACTTATAAGGCACATTGTTTTATTTTATTGGACATATATAAAGGACTAGAGAGAGAGATGAAAAAAGAGAGACCAATTAGACACAACTAGAGAAAGAACAAAACATTGAAGACGATGAAAGTTTCAAGACTATTTGGGGACAGAGATCTTGGGTTCATCTTTTTCTTTTCTATACTTTTATTATAAATAGAGATTGCTCTCACTATCATGAGTAGTTAAGCCTTTCTTTTGTCGGGATTGAATGTAATATATCAAACTCTTGTAATCCTTTTAATTTATATATATGATGCTTTATTATTCAATATTAATGATTTGATTATGTTCTTAATGTTTGAGGTGAACTGATCACTCATCTTTTGATTTTTGATTAAGATTTTGGTTAAAAAATATTTTCTAAATCTATTTTGAATCAAATCACCTAATGATTCTAAAGACTAGGACTAAATTTAGAGTTGTTAGTTGAACAAATTCTTGAACTTAATGCAAGAATTTTGAATTTATAAACTGAAAAATCAATTATTAAATTAGGATATTTAGAATTTCTAACCACAAGAAATTGATTTAGAATTATTTTTTGGAAATTTAATAAACCAAGTGATAAGAATCATATGTCGATAATCTTAGGAGAGCAAAGAAGTGAGATAAATGAAATTCAATTCCAACAACCTTTGTTATTGTTATCTTTCAACTTTACAATTATTTTCTATTGTTATTTTCTTTTCTAATTCAATATTGTAATGCAAAACAATATGTTCATAGTCAACTGTAAATCTTTCTTTTACATATTTTAATTAGGATATAAAAATTATAAAATATTTTTTAAATTTTGGAGATCGTTAATTCATACTTTAATTTTATATAACAGACTTGATTCGCTTGCCACAAAAATTTAACATTTAGTTGGATGGAAAAATAAGCTAGTCAATGCATAGTTTGTTATCTCTTTTATCCTAACTAACACAATGCAAAACTTATTGCTTCCTAGGAGTATTTGTGAGAGTTGGGGGGGAAGAATTATTGTCATTGGGTTGGGTGGAAATCACTGTCTAAACCAAATGACAAAGGAGAATTAGAGTTGCGAGCTTCAAGACTCATGAACATAGTCTTATTAGGAAAACATGCATGTGTTATGATGAATGAACCACAAAAGTTATGGGTGCAATTGATGGGTGTTAGATACATCTCGTCAACTACTATACATCAGACACAACACATGTAGGGGTCTTTTACACCGGGAAATCCATTTTGTGAGCGATGTATTGTCCTTGCTTGGGTTTCAATATCCTACTTGGTGATGATTTGTCCTTCTTTTGGCATGACAATTGGCTTGGTGACGATCCTCTTGGTAATTTTGTAAATCACGTTTATATTGCTGACACTCAATTAAAGAGTGAGATGTATTTTGTAGAAAGTGCATGATTATATTAAGGATGAAAATAGGTTAAGTCTTAAATAAAGACTTATGACCTGATTTCTTTAAAAGTTAGCATAGTCTAACAATCTGTTTAATAAAAAGGTTAGATTTAGATTTTTAAAAAATTTAATTTATATAAAAAGGTTGGGTTTAAATTTATAAAAAAAACTTGTTAAGCATGATAGATTAGCTTATTTATTTATATAATATAATAAAAAATTAATATATATTATTAAAAATATATAAATAAATTTATAAAACAAAAATAA